GCTTCCCGGTGCGCAGCCATATGTAGCAAAACACCTCGCAGCCGGTCCTGCCACTCCTCCGCCCTGTTACCGATGCCTGCGGCCGAAGGTGGACGAACTTGAAGCAGCAGCGCGCCCCGGCGGCGGGAACTGGGCTGCGAGGGTTGAAGCCTCGCCTCTGGTGCCCGCCTGCTCCCTCACACGGGAACACGGCGTCCGGTGTGGCTCTCCGTCTGTACAGAGGAGAGAGCAGTATGCCGGAACGAATGCAGGGGAGGCGCACCAAGATGGTCGGGTGTTTCAGCACATGGTGTACAACAACAGGCTGAAGCGTTTGTCAGCTTGAAAAAAGAGAAAGCTAAGGGAGAATGTGATGGGTTTAGCTACCTTCAGGTTTTAGAGAAAATAGGGCCAAACGCCACTCGGAACACAAGAAAAAAACCCCCTACATTGTAGTTTCCGTTTCCTCTAATGCAGATTATTTCACTTCAGTCCCATTTCTACTTTTCTAAAGTCAAGTACCAAGCAAACCCCATTTTCAGTTAGAAAAAAGAAAGTGGAAACTGGAATTGTTTTAACTTCTTTTTTTTAAATAAGGAGATACAAAGTTCTGAACCTCAGGATATTGATGAGGTCAAATGGTAGGAGACAATTTCCTTGCTCACATCCCACTGTTTACTTTCAGACTCTCCAGTATAGAAGATCTTACTCAAACCTGTTTCCAGCTGCCTGTTTTTCTCTTGTGTCTTCTGTTCTCCTTTTCTAAACTGTTTTTCTGACACTGCACCACTATCCAAAACAGTAAGAAAGAAAACCTTCTGTCCGCATAGTTTTAGTTCTTCAGTAGAGTCACAGATCTGTTTGTATTAAATACATACAGGGGGGTTATAGTTTAAGCTTTAGTTATTTCCTATCCTTAACACAAATCAAAGTTTTAAACATAGTTTAATTGACCTGGACAATACAAACAAGGAATCTCTCCCCTATTTCTGTCTTCTCAAATTTGAAGGGAACAACACAGCAAGGATATTTTTTCCCCTGACAGTTATTGTTTCTTGATTTCTTTTGTCACAGATTGAGAAGCAGAAACAGGAGCCGACTGATTTGAAACAGCAAGCACAAAAAGATAAGAAGATGGTGAATGAATTTTTCTCTTTGTCCTCATAACAGTGGAATCTTCTGAGCTGAAAGTTCTGGTTGTAGTATGAGGAACAAGCTAGTGCAATTAACTGTTACAGGTTTTGATTCAAAAATACTGCATGAAGCATTAAAAAAAAAAAAAAAGCAATGGTGATGTGGGAGTTATCCCATGACTCTGTAGTATTATATCAGGTAGTAGTAGGAATATTTTATGTATTCTGAAATAGTATTAGCAACTAGCTGGGTAATGGTGAGGCCTGAGGCACAGCAAAAACGTGTTTCATTTTTAATGTGCTAAACAATAACTACTTTGAATTTCTTTACAATTCTTCACTCATTACTATTGAATCAAGAATTCTTAAAAAGAACTGAGAAAATTACTATTCATTAATCTGGCTTCGATAGGAAACATAACTGCTTATCTGCACTTCAAGACAGTTATCTCCCATCCAGCAAGACTACACAAGGAACTTTCTCTCACCCTTTGTATAAAGAGCAGGAAAGTCTATAGGTGATAGATGTGGTGGGTTGACCTTAGCTAGATGCCAGGTGCCCAGCATGCTTTATCCCTCCCCTTCTGAGTTGGGCAGGGAGAATAAAAATAAAATTAAAGGCTCACGAGTCGAGATAAGGACAGGGAGATCACTCAGAAACTACCGTCATGGGCAAACCAGACGAGTCAGGGAAATTTAATTTACTGCCAAACCAGAGAAGGGTAATGAGAAAATCAAATCTTAAAACAGCTTCCCTGCACCCTTCTTTTCTTCCCAAGCTCAGCTTCACTCCCAAGTTCTCTACATCCTCCCACTGATTGACACAGGAGTTCAGGGAATGGGGGTTGTGGTCAGTTCAAAACATTGCCTCTGCTGCTTCTTCTTTGCCATATTCCCCTGTTCTGATGTGGGGTCCCTCCCACAGGAGACAGTTCTTTATGAACTGCTCCAGTGTGGGTGCCTTCCACCGTTGCAGTTCTTCAGGAACAGATTCCTCCAGCGTGGGTCCCCCATAGGGTCACAAATCCTGCAGCAAACTTGCTCCAGTGTGGGCTCCTCTCTCCACAGGGCCACAGCTCCTGACAGAGTTCCAGCACAGGCTTCCCATGAGGCCACAGCCTCCTTTGGGCATCCCCATGCTCTGGCAGGTGGATATCTGCTCCGCTGTGGACCACCATGGGCTGCAGGGGTACAGCCTGCCTCACCATGGTCTTCCCCACAGGCTGCAGGGATATCTCTGCTCTAGTGCCTGGAGCACCTCCTCCCCTCCTTCCACACTGATCTTGATGTCTGCAGAGTTGGTTCTCTCACATACCCTCACTCAACTCTTCCAACTGCTGTGCAACAGCAGTTTCCCCCCCCTTCTTAAATATGTTATCCCAGAGGCACTACCACCGTCGCCAATGGGCTCAGCTTTGGTCAGGGGTGGGACCATCTTAGAGCAGGCTTTAGCTCTGTCAAGACACTGGGGAAGCTTCTGGCAGCTTCTCACAGAAGCCTCTCTTGTAGTGCCCCCCCACTTCCAAAACCTTGCCATGCAAACCCAATAAAATTATATTGTGGATGTTGCTTTAAACTTAATTTCTAGGCTTGTTATTTCACTGGAGTGTAGCTTCTGCTGAGTTAGCAGCATTTCCTCTTATGATGGATTCTTTGTAGTTTTTTAAAACACTAACATAGAATTTCAGACATTGTTCTGCATGCTCTGTGTTTTATGTTGCAATATGATGATGATTGGTTTATCTCAATTTCTGATTTGCAGGCAGACTATTATGCCCAACGAATAAAACAACTGGAAGAGAAATGTCACAAAAAAGTTAGAGAAATTGGCCAAATTAAATTAGAACTGAAATTAATAAGGGAGTTCTACAGGGAACAAGTGGCTATGGAGAAAAAGCTGGAAGATGTAAGTTTGTCATGAATATGCATTTGTAATGTACCTTTTCTGGCTGCAAAACAGCATGGAATTTGGGAGTGGAGGACATGGCCAATCTACTGCATTGTTTTCCTTACAGAGAGTGAAGAAAAGCACTAGGTTGATGGACACAAGTGAACTGCGTAGGGGAAGCAAAGCAATAATATAAGTCAGAAGGTTAAGTGAATTTTATAAATTATGTAAAAATTTGAAGACTTGGTAGTGGCAGGTAGTAATTTGGTAGAATCATAGAATCATGGAATTCAGTGGTAGTGCCAAATTCCTTCTTGAAGAGTACATACACACTTTTAGTTATATGGCTGAAATAAAATGTCATTATTAAAAAAATTCTAATTTTTATCATAGTGAAAAGAAAGTATGGAGGTTTCAAACAGGGACATCAGGAAGTGTTTGTGAGATTGGAGATGAGGTTGCTTGAAGAAAAGGCAGGTTTATTTTATAAGAAAAGGCAGTTTAACTTTTATTAGAACAAAATGATTTCTCCTATTGACTACTCTGGTTTATATAGTTTTCACAGTTCTTTGATGAGCTTTTAAACAATTTCCCATGTTACTACAAGTATGAGGAATGAGTTGGAGGCTAGGTGCAGCTTTCTAAGGAAAACTATGGGATGTCAGGATCCCAGAAAGACAGTATTCCTCATTTCCATAAGAAACTTTAGTACCCTTGGTGGTTCATTCTTTCTCTAACAAGAAGTTGGGTGAGATGAAAACTGTGACTGTGATTTTAGAATTTACACTGTTTCAGATTTTAGCTTTGGTGCCAAAGGTCTAATGCAAAATTTAAACAGTTTTTTTCCTCCCTTTCAGAAAAGACCAGAAGAAAAAGTTGAGAAAAAGCAAACGATGGCAGAGATTGCCCAGCGTGAGACTTACTTGTAAGAAATACTTGCTTTTCCCATTTTCTACTTTACAAAACCATCTTAGTGCTGTGTTCTAAGTAAGTTGCTCATGTTACTACCTGGGCTTTTGAAGGGCAAAATCAATGACGACTGAGGCAGCACTTACATTTATATGTTAAGACTCTAGAGGAGTAATATTACCATGATAGTACTGCTGTTTCCTTCATTCTTCCACTCCAGATATAGGACTAGAAGCAAAGCTATGAAAACTTGGTAGAGACCTGTAAGAATTTTACAGCTTAGCTCTGAAATTAGGACACTGAAATGTTGATTTTATTATTAAAAAAAACCCCAAACAAACAATAAACAAAACAAACAAGAAAGGTTGTGATTAAAGCTCTTGGATTTTGTTTCCCTCTGTCCAGCCAGCTGCCCAGCACCGAGAGAGAGGTGTTTAAGGAGGATGTTTGTCTGCACAATGCATTTGCTTACCAGCTGAAAGGGACAGTGGAATTGGAGAAAATCAAACAGAAGTTAGAAGAGGACAAAAGTCTTCTGTTACAGAAGAAGGTTTCTGCTCTGGTTTTAGTTCTGTTCCATTCTCCTCCGGAAATGGGTCAGATGCTTCTGCAGTTACTGAATTTGAAGGTGTCCGAAGGAGAGCTCTTACTCCATCATGGAGGAGAAAGAAGGAAAGATTTCCTCTGCTAGCCCATTAAGAATAGGTCTCTCTGTAATGTATACTATATATCAAGCCTTCTTTATCTGGCTTCTCTTGCGAACAAAAACCTGATCCTAGGGAAGTATTCACCCTCCAGTACAAAGGTGCCTGCATGTTTACTCTGCTGTCAGTGTTGGGGAAAAAGACTGTAAAACCACACCTCCAGATTTGGTGCAAATGAAATAAAACCCCAAACAATTTCTTTTCATCTTTTAGGAAACCACTGAGGGTTTGATACAAAAAACGATCCTACAGGTCAGTCGCCAGAAAGCACAGATTGGAGATCTGCAGCGTAAAGTAGAAAAGCTGGAGATGGACTTACGTCGCATGACTACAGAATCTGAGAGAAAGACTCAGAAAATACAGCATCAGGTGCTGATACAAAACCAGGCAAGCATGGTGGAGATCAAGAAGCTGCAGCAACTACTAGAAATGAAGGATCGGGAGATGAACCGAGTTAAGAAACTAGCCCGGAATATCTTAAATGAGAGGACTGAGGTGGAAAGGTTCTTCCTAGATGCTCTGGAACATGTGAAGCAGGAGATCATAACCAGTAGAAAGCAGTATAAGAAAAAGGCCCAAACTGCCTATTACAGAAAAATGATGGAGGCATGTGCAGGGAAGGAAGCATTTCCCAAAATTAAAACATTCAAAAGCAACATAAATAGCACAAATTGTGTGTACAGAGACCTAGAGGAAGCAAAGAAATGCTACTGGTATTGAAATATGAAAAATTAATGTCTGTCTTCCCACTACACCTGAAAAAAACCCTTTGCATAATACTGTATAGGTTTGGAATGCTTGTGGAGGCTTCTGTAGTGAGAATAACTGTATAAGGCATAATATCCTATCAATTAGTAGTGACTTTGTGGGCAGCTAATTTCAACTAGGCTATCACTTTTTGGTTGTTATTTCTATGTATTAAAGATAAGATCAAAAGATTTCTTTCCATATTTTGCCATGTACTGGAATTTGATATACAACTTCCAGTATAGATGTGCTTTTGCACATTACTTTTAATAATTATTGTTGCTTCTCTAATTTCTTTTTTGTTTATAGGCATTGGTCTTCCAGTATTTCTCTTTTGCTTTTTACTCACTCCAGTGAGCTAACAACACTGAAGCCTAAAAGTTGCAATTAAGATGCTAACAGATCTTTACTATGTTGCTGATCATTTTAACAGAAACATCCAGTAGATGTCAAATCTTATCTTTTTTCAATTGCTCTTCTGTATGTCAGAAGCCCCTACTTTGCATTGTGCTTTCAGAGGCTGTTTTCCTCAAGGTTCATAATAATCTAAAACTTAAGCCATTACATGAAATAGACACTGACATATCAAAACCAAGATCACATGCAATACATGTGATTGACAGAATTCCATTTTATAATGAATAAAACAAAATCTCAGATGTGAGTATCTCAGAATGCAGCTTGGTTGAAATTAGGGCTACACGTGCCACAGTGGCCAGGATTACAGGTCTCCAAACTTCCACTAGAAATCTGTGCCTACAAACTGCAGCAGTGTCCAGGCACTTGCATTTTAAGCCATAAAGTTCTGCCATAGCTGAAGCTTGCGTACGTCCTCGGTGAGAGATCAAAATTATCATACTCCCACATAAAATGTTTCCTTAGTGTGCACTGGCTATTGAATAACTTAGTGACACACAACCAGTTGGAAAGCTTTGTTCGGTTCAGGTTATCTTATTTCAAAAATGATATAGCAGAAACCCTTCATGAAAAATCAGAGGTGAAAGTAGTTACTGAGGTGTAATGAAACTTCTTGGTGCAAGAGAAGAGGGAGACGGGAACCAAGAATGAAAACTGTTATATGTATTGACCCTTTTAAGTATGCAGGAGAAGTCAGGGAAGGACAATGTACTTGAAACTAATATGTGTTAGTACTAACCCTCCCCTTCCCAGTATTTATTACTACCCATGTAACAGAAATCCTTGGTTTTGTTTCACTTAGTTTCAACAATCATAGATTCAGAAGTCAAAACCACAGCACTGTGTGCTCAGATTTGATTTTTGAATTTACATGCTATAAGTAGCTGAACAAGAGCAATGCAGAGCTAGAATTTAAAACCTGTTTCACACATAGAGAATCCATGAGAAATGCATTTGAAATGTTCTTCTAGTATGTTGATATCTGTGTGCTTTTCAGGGAAAAAATGCAATTTGAAAAAGTGGATATCAGTGAGTTGACGTGGGAACAAAAAGAACTTGTTCTGCGACTGCTTTTTGCCAAAATGAATGGCACAAATCCATGGTAATATTCTGTTTCTTGAATGCTGATCTTTCTCTGTTAGAGGAGATGGGCTAGTATCTCCAGGTCAGGGATTCCAAGAAACTCTGAAAGTAGCATAAGGATCTAGCTAACTGTGTGGCTTGATGTGAGACACTTCTAACTTTTGAAAAAGGTGATTTAACCTTTTAAAAAAGTTGATGTACCATATGCTAATTTTGGATACGCACCAGACAACACTATTAGATCTTTGTGTGTAATAGCAAAAGAAAAGCAAGTGGAAGTTAATTTTGGTAGTGCTGAGGAACAGAGAAGTGAGGAGAAGTAACTTTGCTTGGTGCAGTGGGATTAATTTTGTTCAGTCATTAATGAAACCCAATCCATCTTTACCAAACAAGTACATAATATATATTGTGACCCTAGCACTCCTCCACATATATTTCCTTTTAGTAGGTTGTAAAGCGACCTGTGCAGTATTAATAAGTACAAATACCCTCAACCAGAGTATTAAAGGTGTATTTATTCTATAGCTCATTGCTGTTGCATAAGAAACTTCAGAGTACAACTTTAGAGATCCCCAAAATATGGCGTACACTGGAAATGCAAAGTTCAAACAGCATTTAATATATTATAAGCTGTGAACTAAGGCATAACGTGATTTTTAATGTCATTAGGGTGCAACATCAGCTTCTCTGTGTCAAAAGAGTTTATTTAGTTTTTAAAAAATTAAGTTAAATTTTGTTTGCAAAAGTTACATTAATGGAACATCCTCAAATTTTAAGGTCATTACAATGGAACTAAGAAATGTATAATTAACTGCTTTTATGGTTCCAATTTATGCATGGATTTAACTCCTTTTACGAGTATTCACCACCATACAAAGCACTCATAAAGCTGTAGAGTGTGAAAGCTTGGGAAATTGAATACAGACACTACATTTTAAGTTGATTTATGATTTTTTTTTTAATTAAAAAAACTCTCATTTATTTCACCTCATTCCCTTTCAATTGTAATGATTTTGCCAGAAAATACGGAATTCCATAGTGAACCGAACTCATGTTTGATCCATGGTGCTGGGGGTGGAGAGTGTACTACAGTATCTCAGGTGCCCTGGCATTTCTTTCTTGTGTCTGTTATAGAGAACAAGTTTGGTGTGGGATTAGAAACCTGTCTGAGTATAAATTACCATTAGATGAGGATCACTTCACTATTGTGTCTTCCCCACAGGCAATACCCCAGAGTTTTCGCTACTTCAGCTCCAGCTGCTGCTGATACTAAAGAAGAAAGCAAAACTGGGTAAGATACTAAATTATACCACACTATCTAACACCACCTCAGTCCTGGTTATATATAAATGGATTCAATTGTCTCTCTGTCATCCTTCCCACTTTAGAGTACTTTGGTTTGTCTGAAGATCTATGTTAGTGTATCCATACATGCATAAATGTTTGTGTGACAAGAGAGAGGAATTTTTTATTTAGCTTGAACTTTCTGGTCACATTCATCTTTTAGCAGCAGGCATTTAGCTCTCGTGAAAAAAAAAATGGTCTTGTGCTTCCTTAAAGCTTCCTCGTATTGAAAAGCAGCTTTATTATTTTTGGAGGGTTCTCTTGTGAAAGGCCATGATTATACAAGGAGACACATTTTCAGCTAGCACAGTGAGTTTTGATTAAAAGGCAAAATCTATTAAGCTGATGTGGGTTCAGCATAGCATCACTTAGAATGGACGAGGATGAAGATTCCTATGCCTGATTTTCCGATACAGACTCAGGTACAACTATATAGCTCATTATAAGACTCCAAGGCAAGCAATATTAACTTACCTGGAGGAATAAGTAGGGAGGAGTTCTGGCATACCATCATGTCAGATGTGGGGTAGTCAAGCACACAAAACAAAATGTAATACTCAGACATCAAATGATTAGATAACTGTTCATGACCAGGAGCCCTAGAGGGACTTATATGGAAAGATGAGAGATACCTCCTTTGGAGAGGCAAACTGCCACTTCCAGAAATGGGAGTGAAAGTGACGTGTAGCCTTTTTTGCAGAGACAGGTTAAAAAAATCAGAAGTGGATGTCACAGGGCCCTATTCTCAAAGGTGGTTAAATTATCTTAACATAATTTTTGGATTTAATACTATCAAATAACTTTGAGAATCTAGACTGTAATGCCTTCTAGGCAAGAACCAATTTTTCATAGGAGACAAAGGGTTGACTGTAAAGGGTTGTATTTTAATGGAGTCTAAAGAAATTTATTATGAGATACTTTATACTTGGATTATTTCAGAAAATACATTCTTTAGGTTAATTTTTTATAATGAATGTTGAAGTAAAAAGGAGAATAAACAGGTGAGTGGAAAGCAGTAATAGTGAGATGAGGCAGGTATGTCATGATCAGCCAGCATCTGCAGGTTCACTGAAAAAGGCATTTCATTAACTAAAAAAGGTAGATGCAAGATCTGTATGTCTAGTACAATTATTTAAACCCAGCTGTTTCAAAAATGCTGTTGGAAATGCAGATAATCATAGAATCATAGAATAGTTAG